TATTGGGGAATTGGGGGGCAGGTAACAGCGTTGGGGAATTGGGGAAGGGGAACAGACAGGTAGACAAATTGCTGTTTTGTTCTTCAGTCTAGTTGTGGTGGACATCGGTTCACTGGCCCATGTTGGTATGATCATTGTGCTCTTCCCGGATGAGGCAATCGGTTGCCGATCGTTGGTCGGCCGCTCACAGCAGCTCCCGGTAGCTCACACCAGCTACCAGCCACTCACGCTGGTTGCCAGCCACTCACGTAGCTCATGGCAGCCCACTGCAGCCCTGCTGCAGCCTATGCCGTCGCTGGCGACTCACAGCAGCCCAACTCCAGGTCGAGCTGTTGTTTATCATCTTAGTTGTAGAGGGCAAGCGTCACTTGCCCTCAATGTGGGATCCAAACCGCAGCCCTGCTGCTTAGAGCTGGTGCTCCCAAGTGAGCTCTTAACCAGCTGAGCCACTCGGCCGGCCCTATCAGCTTCATTTTTACATCTTGTGATGGTGCAGTATCCAACATCCAATTCTGAAGGCTTAATGGTTGATATTAGGTAATGCATTTATCTTGTGGAAATTCCACTTTCTGTAAACTCCAGCACATGCACCTTCCACATTTCCTACATTGTTTTTGAACTATAGAAAAGAACACTAGGACAAACTTTTGGAATAAATGCCTGTATTTTAGAGAATGTGCCTTGCATGGATTCCTACACGTTGACACACATTGCCACATTCCTTTAACCAGGAACACAGGCCAGTGCCTGCGTCATTGTATCCTTAAGAATACTGATCATTTTTAATTGCTGGTAAGTGGAGTGGTGTAAAATATGTCACTGCTGTTTCAACAAAGCTTTCCAAAATTATCTGTGAGATTCAACACCCATTTCTATATGTAATACCTAGGTGTTTATTTTATATCTTCCTCATGCAAAACGAATTGATGAAAATTCATATGAGGAGATTGAATTAACTTTAAAATGAATACTTGAGAAAATTACAGAAAGAAGAGATGAGAATTAACAAAGAAAATGAAGCGACTTGGAAGTGAAGTTAATTCGCTAACTCCATGTCTCCTTTGCTTCTTTTGTTTTCATTCTGATAGCAATACCCCTTACCGAGGACATGCAATCATGTCTAATCAAGAACTGCACCACCGGCCTCTCCAAACACATGATCCAAGCTATGATCAAGGACAGGAGGCCAAAGAACAGGCTGCTCCTTCAGCCCACTTCTTGACTCAATCCCTGGAACTTGTACATCCCTCTTCCTTCCTCTATGAAAAGAATAGGCTAATAATGAAAGGAGTTCATCTTGTCTGAGAGGAGACACTGTAAAATAATTAAAACAGAACCCAGTATATTGGGGGTGGAGGGGGAAGTGGGGCGGCGGATTGGAGGAGGAAGGTTGTCACCTCAATGGTTAAAAAGTATAACTATTGCACTGTGTTGTACACCTGAAACTAATTCTAAAAAATGTGTATTTCACAATAAAAAATAATTTAAAAAAAGAAAATAAAACAGAACCCAGTTTTCCTTGCTTCACTCCTTGTCTCCTTGAAATGTCTTTTTCACTTCTCTACCCTCCTGCACCTCTTCTGTGACGTCCTGTAAACCCCAAAACATAACGAACAACAAGACGTACAAACACAGCTCTCAAACAACTATTCTGAAGGCTGCTGGTATGACACTGGCACCAAGGGTCACAGAAGCAGCAGAACCAATTCCCACCTTTCCAACCACACGTTAATAGCTCTTAAAGAAACCGCAACCTGGGGACTAGCAGAGTCCGGATCTCTGCTCTCCTTTCCTTGCACACGGACCTCTGTTCTCCTTTCCCTGTACATGGACTTCTCACCCCCTTTCCATATACATGTGCCTTCCTTCTACTTTGCCTGTACAATCTCCAGTTCTGCTTCAGCTCAGGGTGTTACGTGGCCTTCAGGTGACACATATCAGCTGCATCAAGCCTGTAACCTCCATTTGAACCACTTGAACTCCGTTCTTTTCTCCCCACGTTCTACCACTAATGTGACCCCAATTTTCAAGCAGCACAAGTGCAGACTTCTACAGGGTCACTTGCATGAATGACAGTCACCTCTGGTCAATACAAAGCATATTCTCAAGGCAAGTACCAATGCTCCCCATAATGAGATTCCAGGGAAATGTGGGCCCTGAGGCATCCTAGGCTTCATGTTCTACACACATCCTTGGCAGTGATCTCTCCAGGTAGCACTTACCTTTCTCAGTTGATAATGGGCAGAATTATACTAACCTACCAGATACCGTTTCTCTCATGAATGAGACGACAGTACCTAGGAAGGACTTAGCGCACTGCCTGGCACACAGTATATGCTCAGAACATCTGCACCACATGGTTTTGTAACAGGTGGGAGCACAAGTTCTGGAATCATCACCACTTCCGGGGGAGTCAAGAATTTCCCTACATCTGAAATTGCAAACCTGTGTGTCTGCGTTTAATACAACCAAAGTTGCCTTTAGTTACCAAATACAGGAATTACGATTTGTTATTTGGAAAAGAGATATCATGGAAAAGTCAATAAACTGAAACCAGCCCTCCATGTCCTCTGCATTTTGGTTTTCAGTGATGTTGTAGTCCACGCACTTTCGTAACTCAGGGTGATGTCTAGTCCACTGAAGACGAGAATAAAAATACGTTAGCTTTAAAACGACATGTGAGTTTCTCTTTTAGATAATCTTTTCATTACAAGGGCAGGTATAGTACCTTGACAGCGTTGGGGACCTAAGTTTTGGGCCACTTTTAGTGTCTGGTACTCCTAAGGATGGCCCAATCTGTTTATATTTATAATTTCACAGCCTTTCACTCTTCCTTTCATGTCTGGGGGACTGGCATCACAGGAAATGTTACAGATTGTATAGACCATGAGATATTGAACTCTATCTAAAAGTAAANGAGGCACACCAACACCCCCTGATGCCCACAGGCTTTCTTCCTCCCTTTCCCTTCACCTGGAACCACAGGTGCACTTTCATCTTCATTGTCTTGATCAGGTGTAACATCCTGACTCTCATTTGGTGGCTCGTCTTGTTGTGCTTGTTCATCACTGGGTTGCTGGGCCTAGGCATGTGTATATGTGGGCAAAGGAAAAGTTTTGTTGTTAAAACATGCCAAAGATACAAACATACAGAATAATCATAAATAACTATAAATACATTTGAAAAACATGATTCTATATTCTCATTCGTAATGAATTGTCTCTTCCCAGACTGGCCACTCCGACAGGAGCTGCTCACAGGGACCTCAGAAGCTATATTTCAAACTCTGCTGGGATGGCTGTGCACAGTGTGTTGTTAATAAGCACGAGAAAGAAGTCATAGTGTGTATTTCCACTGGCAGTGACAGTGTGGAATCCTCCGGGATCGAAGATTCCTTCTGAGGAAATCCTCCGGGATATATGTTTCCTTCCTCTTATGGACATGGAAAGGTGTTTCCCTGTATCTGTAGTCGTTTAAGAGAACCTTCAGGAAATAGATGTATGCTAATATGAAACATTGAATATGAAACACTCACAGCCACAGGGTCAACTCGCTCCGAATTCTCTGGATCTTCTATTAGTATTTTCCATTCGAAACGCGATCTCACATGCCTACTCATACTTCACACTGAAAGGAGAACATTGTGACTTGCAAAATTCACTTAAGAGGTTAGTTATACCACTTCCATGGCTATGTTTTCTTTGTTTCTTTTTTTCTTTCTTGTTCTCTCTTTCTTTCTTTTTTAATTTGAAAACACTTTCAAAGTAAGGCTCAGGGTAAGTGTAAGTGCACATGGTTTCCAGTCACACCAAATACATACCAAATTGTAAAACCATCTATTTCACGGACAAGCTGGGAGTGCAACTGTCTGAAGCACGTGAAACAACATCAGGTTTGGGACCAGAACTGCATTCCCTATCAGGAAGACGTTTAGTAAAATACCGCTAGGACCTTGAAACTTGAATGACTAGCACTTTTGGCCCACTTCCATTGACAAAGCCCGTTTTCCCGCCTAAATAAACTTGCCGGAACACATGGAAAGGCTCCATCAACTCTCTCCGTGCTGCCTGTGGCTGGTTCCCGGCTACAAGGCAGAGGCGACGGGTTGCCACACAGCCCGACAGGCCCGCTTCCCCCCGGCCCACCGCTTGGTGCACTACACATCGCTAGGACTCAGTGGCAGGCCCACCGCAGTCCCATTTCTGGGCCCTTCCTTTACCGCCCGCCCCGCCCCCAGCCCAGGGTCCCACTCAGGACCACGGGGCTGTGCTCCCGGGGCTGTTTCAGGGACCTCCAGCGCCCACACACCTGAAGTAACGCCCTGAGGCTCCCTGTCTCCATCTGAGCCCTGCCCTCCACGCCCACCATCCAGTCACCCTTTGACTCGCTCCCACCATCACGGCAAGTAACATGGCGGCCTCCACCCATGGAACGAGAGACACGGCCTCGAGGACCTTACTCCTCGGAGCCACAGAAAGCAGCCCCGTCTCCACTGAAGCCCGCTGCCTGTCCCCTCGCTCTCACTCCCACCTCAAATGATCTGTTTGTCCACCTACCCGTTGAGACTCCAGTAGCGGGAAAGGCTCCACAAGGAAGAAACACCACCGCCTCCGCCTCAGCTCTGGTCGAAGAACGCGGACTACAATGCGCATGTGCACCAACTGCCGCCTGCTGCAAGGCGCATACGCAGCAATTAGCATGCGCACTGACTTGGGGACCTGCATTGCCCGTGGACGTGTTCCCGCCTGGGCCACAGAGCCTTGAAAGCCCTGGGCCTAGCACAGTCTACACAAGCAACTTGACGTGTGGTTTTCCTTCCCCTGCAATCTTTGTCATGCTTCCAGAAACTTTCCAGACAGACTGCCCCAGGCTTCCCCTACTGGAGACCATGTCTCAAACATATGGCTGTGACAGAAAGAGACACTAAGGATTTTAAGACCCCTTTTTACCCATGCGGTGAGCCA